ACCCCTAGATGAAACATTCGGAGAATGTTGGTTTTCGGAGGCTGCAGCTACCGTAAGTTGCTGTTGTGCGAAGATATACTGGGTGATTCCATACCCAGATAGTAGTAGAATGAGTCCATACAGGAGGATCGTCCATATACTTAAAGATGTAGTGATGATCGGTTTCGCAATAGCTGGAGACAAATGTTGAATTTCTAGTCGGTTTAATTTGACATGCTTTACATTGACCGTAAATCGTGGCTGTTGTTCCTCTTTCAAACTAAGTTTAACTTCGTTGAGGAACCTTGTACCTCCATAAGTATGTGAAGAATGAAGAAGCTGTTTATTTCGAAATGTTACATTACTTGATGTAGTATTTATTAAGAATATTATTTAAATATATTGTAGACTTCTAGATATTGTGTCCCCATGTTTCGTTATTGTAACGATTTCTTCTTTGGGAAAGCTGGCTAAATATTGATTTAGTTCAGCTATCCAGATTACATAGTTTTCATCCAAATTGATGCTAGTGTATTGGCAGGATGTTGTATCTCCTGTTAATACGATTTCTTTCTCGCAGTTGTTCTCTTCATGATTAATCGATTGCGTTGAGCATATAGATATTGATCGAAATTTTTTACAATTATTGTCTAAAGGTTCAACATTTAGTTTATTTGAGTTCGCTCTTGTTTTCAGTAAATATTTTACATTTGGAACAATTGTTACAAAATAAAGTTATGTGTTGTTGGTACTGGAATTAGTTTATATAAATCATAAATTTGTTTTCTTACTAAGGGTAATTGTAAAAGATAAATAATTTGATTGTTTACAATTTTACATTGTAATTAAATTTTCAAATTCAAAAGTGTTCCTTAAACTTACTTCAAATGGTAATTAGTGGAAATTCTAGTAATTTCCTTAAACAATTCGTGAGGAGATATAATACTAGGGTGTAAAGTCTGTTGTTTACAAAATGTTAATGAGTTTCGACATCCTGTACTACATTTAATAGTATTTCATAAGTGATATGCAATAAATTTGTTTTATCTCTTAATTTCTCTAATTCAACATAATTGTTTAATTTTTTATTTACTGCTAAAATTTTTGATTTTAGTTCGGCTGTATTTTCTTCAACTACTGTTAATGATTTATTAAATTCCACAATGAGTTCATTGATTAATGAATATTGCAAATTTATTTGTTTTTCAAAATTAATTTGACTACCTTGTAGATTTTCAATATCTTTATTAAATTGAACTCCATCGTAAGAATCTAGATTACCTGTAATAAATTTTATGATGGATCCTAATCCATTAATCAAACTTCTTTTAGCTCTAATATTGTTAGTATTTTTTACAAAAACTATTTCTAACTTTTCTAATTATTTTACTACGTTCACTAATTTTAGAATACAACAATTTTTGTTTTTCTTTGTGATTAATAACATAATCATTTATTAACTGTGCCTCTATGTCTATTTCTAACATTGGGTCATTTCAATGTGCCCGTTTAATATTTCAAATGGGGTTAATTTTGTAGCAGAATGGATACTATTATTGTAAGCAATGAGTGCGTATTTTACTTTTGATCTGATTGAATCTTTTTTATAAATTTCCTGATTGTTTAATAATCTAATATGTTCTATAAGAGTGAAGTGAAATCTTTCTACTGGTCCATTAGAGTCCGGATGCTGTGAAGAAATAAAGTTAATTTTCATCTTGTGCAACTTCATTAGATCTTTTATCAAACGGGAATTAAATTCAGGGCCGTTATCAGTAATAATCTACTGAGGAAGACCATGATGAGCAAAGTAATTCATTAAGGCGTTAACAATTTCTATGCTATTAGAGGAGTTTAACGGGTATACTTGTGCATACTTGAGAATAATTTCAATTATTGTAAGGAATTTGGAATTTTCCAGTGTTAGCTTATCAATGTGAATAATGGAGAAAGCTTTTGTAGATGTTGGTGTGATATTGTACTGGATCTTAAGAGGGACTCTATCATATTTTGATGATTGGCAAATCTCACAACGATTAATAAATTCCTGCATAGATTTTTTCTGGTTAACCCAAAAATATTTTATTTTTATTTTTTCAAAAGTTTCTTGGATTCCTCTGTGATTCGTTTCACCGTCGGGATAGTTCTTAATCTTTCTATGATCTCTTCCTCTATCGTAACATCAACTAGTTTCTCCGTAAATTTAGTAAATTTTACATCAGACGATTTAAATTTTGTTTGCATTATTCTTGTAAATTGTTCATATATATCATTTTCAAAGTATATTCCATACTTTATGTTTGGATTAATGTATTCCTTAATAAAAGATATTACTTCGTTTTCAAAATTTTCTTCTGCGAATTCCACAATTATCCGTGTTTTACTGTTGAATAGATTTATAATTCTTGTCTTCTTTGGGTTACATATGACAAGAGATATTTGAATTTGATTCACATAATGATTGACCGGACCTTCGGTAATTGGGATTGATAATCTTGTATTTCCTTCCGAATTTGAGCGTCTCGTTTGTTGTGAATCTTCGTCGATAATGATTCTGTTTTCATTTAGATTATCTTCATCTATGTTCACGAATGTGGAATCATTATCTATGGTGTCAGGCCAATTTAAGATTTCTCTTTCAGGAGAATCTAACTTTGAATTCGCAAGGTTTTCCTCCCTTAGCTCTGGAAATTCTTCATAGAATTCATCTAGCAGGGTATCTATTTCTTCATCAACAACCTTGGAATTATTGGGATATTTACCTTTTACTCTAGCCATATTTATTTGCACTCTGGACAAGGCATCCGCGTTTTGGTTCAATTTACCTTTTTTATAAATGATCTCATAATCGTATTCCTCCAATTTTAGACGCCATCTTGTCAGTTTCTAGTTTGGCTCTTTAAGGGAAAATAGCCATTGCAAAGGTCTGTGATCACTAAATATTTTAAATTTTCTGCCATACAATAAGGCCGGAAATATTTAGTACTCCAGACAATTGCAAGCAATTCCTTTTCTATGGTGGAATACTTTGATTCTGTATCATTTAAAGTTCTACTAGCGTAAGCAATTGGTAAATCCGCTCCATTAAAATTTTGGCTAAGGATGGCACCAATTGCTGCATTGCTCGCATCTGTTGTTAGGTTAAATTGTTTTTCAAAATCTGGATACTTTAATATTGGATCGTTAGTTAATATGTTTTTACAGGTTTCGAAGCTTTCGACGTATTCTGGATTTTTTATGTCGATTTTACTATCCTTTTTTAAAAATTTTGTCATAGGTTTTGTCAACTGCGCAAAATTTTTGATGAACTTTCTATTGTATCCTAACAGTCCGAGAAAGCGTTTTATTTATTTTTGCGTTCTGGGTAAGGGTCAATTTTTATGGCATATATTTTATCCGGATTTGGTTTCACTCCATTCGGTGTCACCAAATGCCCTAAATATGCTACCTCTTTACGAAGAAATTCTGTTTTATCAGGTTGGATTTTGAAGTTATATTTTCTCAACCTATTAAAAACTAATTTTAACCTTGAAATATGCTCTTTTAAACTTGTACTGAATATTATGATGTCATCTAAATAACATAAACATATTTCATTATTTGTTGTTGTGCATCGACAGTATAATTGGTTGTTTGAGTTCCCATCGGTGTTCCCGCGGTTGGGAGTACTTTATGATTCAAATTTGGATATAAGATAGGAATACAGTTTCCTTTATAGTATAATTTGTCGTTAACGAAGTCTAATTGAATATTTAATAATTGTATATTATCTAATCCTAACAGCAAATCAAATTGATCGTAAAAGTTGAATAGGAAAAATTTGAGTTTTATTTTGCTTTTTTTGAGAATTGAGAATTTTGCACTGTAGTTTTCATTTGAAGTACCATGTGCAGTGATGACTTCAAATGGGTCATTTATAATTTTGTTTTTAAAATATTCAAAACCTAAAAATTTCTTTATAAAGGAACGGGTACTGCCCGTGTCGATCAGGATTGGTGCATTTGTTGCAGGATCTACAAAATATGGCAATTCGTTCCCCATTGATTGTAAATTCATTATCTGAAGTCTTTTATTTGGGTAACTCCTAAAAAATTACCCTCTTCAGATTTAGTTAGGTTATGGGATTTATCTACAGAAATTTCGGGTGGTTGTTCCCTAGCATCCATCTGGAAAACTCGTGGTTTTTTAAAAGAGTTTCTTGTTGAGATGCTCATGGGGATTTGTTGGTTGCTTTGTGAAAATGGAGTGAAATTTTGTTTAATTTATGATGGTTTGTTGAATTTCATGGGTCTTTGTGTAAATTCATGTGGTTTGAAATTATGTTTTTGATTTGTGTTTTGTCTATGTTGTGGGATCGGTTGTTGGTCTATTCTCTGCATATACTGGAAGTCGTTTAACATTAACTTTTCAATGTCTGACAAGGTTTTAGGATTCCTAGCGGCTAGGTTTTTTCTTAAAGGGTCTCTCAGACTACTTATAAAATTGGTGGCCACTACTTGCTCCTGAAATCTTATCAAATATAATTTTTCGTTGTATGTACCGTCTTCCAGCTGTATTTTAGCTCGGAATAAATCAAACCTTCCTTTATTTCGTTCAATGATCGCAAAAGGGATTTTACATTTAATTTAAACAGGTCAACCAAGATACTAGCTGGACCCTGTCTATCTCCAAATTGAGTTAATAAATGTGATTTTAATGTTGTCCAATCTTGGAAATTTAAATTTCTTAAATGTTGTTGGCCTTATTTACTAATTTACCTATAATATTCGTAAAACATATCGTTTTCTGAGGGTTGATATTGGAGGTACTAATTCGGAAACGATATGTTGCGCCTCTTCAACCTTCGTAATAAACTGTGTTATTGTTTTTGGGTTGCCATCATAAGTGGGGATGGCATCCAAAATAAATCTTAGTTCCGCCAAGTTAGCCATGTTAGTGTTACGAATTACAATAAATATAATTGTTAAATTAAATTGTGAAACCAAGAGTTTTATAACATGCGATACAATTTATTTACTCACAAAATTTCAATCATTTCTGAGTACTCGCTGATGTTCTTGAGTTGGATGCTCCCGATGAACGTGGTTTAGGATTTTCTAACTGTTAATACAGTAAAGTTCGTATTCATCGAACCCGAAAAGTGTCCTACTGACTGCGCCAGTTATGTGCGAGATTTAGTCGAAAGACTTTTTAAAAAAGAATCTTTATTGCCAAATAACACACAATGGTTACAGAGAATAACTTTCCTATTCACGGTACAGATTATTCTATAACAATTAAATATTCGGATCTTTACTGTCCGTTAACTGACCTGTAACTAACTACGAATAGCAAGCTTATCTAAAGGGAACAATTGAAGGAAGGGGCAATTGTTGAGTCCACACATTCCTAAGTACTGAGATAAGTATTGTTTAAAAGAAGTCTCGTTATTAAAACGGAGACGTAACTTCACACATAATTTTTTTTAAACTTCTTTCTGCTATTATGTTGCAGTCCTAAATTGTTCCCTAATAAATTGACTCTGGAATGTTTTAAGTTTATATTAACTGGAGAAGTTTCAAATAATACTGATCGATTGGCCTAGGATTGATATTTATAGGATGGCAAATCGTTTTGTTTTCAAGTAGTTGCATTTATCTATTTTCAATAAATGCTGTGTAAATCATAACAAACAGCCAAATATTCTTGCACGGATTCTTAGTATAGAAGTTAAAAGAAGGTATGAGAAGTTTTCAGAAGTTTTTGGCATGATAGCAGTCCTTTTTCAATGGTAATAGCATAAATTGTTTTCGAGCGATGGTTTAAAAAAGTTGAAAATTCGATGGCTTAGGGTTTAACGTAGAAGTCTATACAGGTTTTTCACGTTTGAAAGGAACGTCGGCTAGTAGCGAGGATTAATCCGGGTTCAATTTGTTCTTGTCAATGCTCAATTGGGATTCCGATCACGGAAAAAGGCCCGTTGAGAATTGTGGAACTATTAATCTCGGCGAAAGAAGGCCAACTCGATCTCGGACGGCAGTAATTTCTTTTCTATATCTCGCCACTTCCCCTCTTTTATACCTTTTTGTGAATTTACCACCGGGATTAGCCTCCCTGCAGCCGACAGGGAAGCAATTACCTTCGGGGGGAAGTGGCCGACAGCCGCAGAAGTGTAGCCACCCCCAACCAGAAAACGTCATCCCTCCACGACTTGACGCCTAATCATATACAACATAATATCTTCCCGATATTTCTCCCCCCTCCGTCATGAATAAAATATTACCTTTTATTTTCCCCTAAGGGAAGAAACTTTCCTATTCAAACGAAAAACAGAAGGATCATCTTTTTATTCATCAATTTATGGTTTCTACACGCTTTTCATGGTAAATGTGGTAAAGCGTAGAACGTATAACATTCTGTATAAATTCAAATTGTACGCACGAGAGTTATTATAGTAACATGGACGCAGATATGTTCAAGCAACAGAATTTCATAATTTTTCTTTCAGCTTACATTCGACTTTTAGCAGAGTGTAAAATCGACCACAGAAGGCATTAATGACGGAATAAACCGGCGAGGTTAGGAAAACCAAAAATCATCGGAAAATTCCAAATTACAGGTCCACCCACTGACAAACAACTAGCATATCTGCATTATTATCAATAAGTGTGTGAGTGTATGCTAAATGAATTAGTAAATTTTGATTAATCCATTATACATATTTAAATTATCAATATTGATAAGTAAATAAATATAATTTGGTTGTAAACATCTTCGTTGCAATTCATTTTCATCTGTCGTTCTTTATTTTTCATTATTCTTTTACAATGTTTCAGTCTGAAATTCTAGTTTCTTTTTTCTTCTTACATTCTTACTGTTCCATTTTTCTTTCAAACTGTTTTGGTTTTCTTTCCTCTTTCTCTCCTTCTCACCCTCTCTGTGAGATGTGAGATCAATTTAATTTGATTTCATGTTTCTTTTTCTGCGTTTCGTTCTCTTTCTTTTATTCTATATTTCATCTTTCAATTCGCTCTCTTTCTTTATACTTTCATTTTTACATTCTTAATTTATTTGCTTTCAGTATTTCTGTTCATACATTCCGTTCTTTCGTCATTTATAAATATTTTCCATTTTTGTGTCTCTGTTTCATTTTTTCTTTCTCGATATTTCAAATGTATTTTTTCTGTCTCTCTCCTCTCTCACTCTCTCTCTCTCTCTCTCTCTCTCTCTCTCTCTCTCTCTCTCTCTCTCTCTTTCTCTCTCTTAACATAGATAACAAATAAAATTAAATAAACAAATAAGAGAAAACATAGATAACAGTAAAATGACCATCTTAACTCTAGTTGATTTAGCATGCTTTTAACAGTATAAATCACAAAATCTTAATAGCAATCCTGAAATCAATAAATGTAATTGGCTGGTTTCACAGATATTTAACAAAGAGTAGTCGGATAATAAAAACACAGGATGGCAAAGTTTCTGAAGAAAAATTCATTAATCACGGGTCTCCACAAGGGTCCACTTTGTCACCGATGTTGTTCTTTTTGTATTAAAATTAGAATATATCGAGCTTTCCATTGTTGTAAGTTAAGTTATAGCCAGATGATCTAACTGATTATATCGTTCCAAAAGTTGATAATATTAACGAACAAAGCGAAAAAATATATGCTGAACTTGTAAGACTGGCAGACTGGAGTAATAACCATGTTATCTTTAAACCCAACTAAATGCAAAGCAATAATTTTTTGCCATAATAAATTTTAAAAAAATTGAACCTTTAGATGTAAAGAAAATTAAAATTGACAACATCTTTTTAAAACATGAGAAAAATATAAAATGTCTGGGTTTAACGCTTACCAAGAATCTATTAGGGGATATACAGATGATAAAAATCAAATCTACTCGACCTTACATAGATTTAATAAATTTTTAAGTTTTGCCAAGTACAATGTAAATATCAAATAACAACGTGTATCAACTCTAATCTTTCTCCACATAACTTATGATCTAGGAGCAATGAGTGACTTAAATCTACACAAATCAAAAAATTGCAAGTAGGGTTAAGCATGTATATCAGATACATCCTGAGCCTGAAATATGACAGATGTACATATAAAAAGTTTTCCCAACTTAAATTTCTCTTAAAGATTTATTATTACAAACGATTACAATCTATCATGTAAAGTTTTTAAAATTTTACAAGTTCAAAAATCAAATCATCTATATGTGAAATTTAAGTATATATCTCAGATTCTTGACAAAGATACCAGGTTTACAAACTAACGTCTGCGAGTCGTTAAGCACAAAACCAAGACTTTTAATAGGTCATTCTCAATAAAAGGAGCAATAACATATTCGAGAATCCTACCCACAACAAAAGATATAAAAATATTAAAGATTTCCAGAAGAGTCTTAACAACCTCTTACCAAGTTATGATTGATGTCTTAAATTTAACATCTTTTGTTATTTTGCCTTGTTTCATTTTTTTATATTACTATTTAGTGAGTAGAAGTTGCATTTCTATATTTATATTGGCAATTTACAATTCATGACTTTTACTGCATAGTATTGAAAAGTATTTTTGTTCATTTATTTTATTAGTAATTTACTTTTTAATTGCTCAATTATTATGTATATATATATTATGCAGGGTGGGCGACCAAGACGCGAGGGGTTAAATGCCTGGGTAGACTCGTACCCCATCCCTAAAAGGTCCGGGACTTGGTCGGCTCACGTGTCCTGAATAAACCTATTGGACTTGTTCACAAACCCCAAGATTTTGGACCATTTTATCTCGGGGAGTGATTTGATGATGTCCTCTCCTTCAAAGATTTCAAATCTAAACCTAGCTAGTAGTGCTTCGCCGTTTCTTCTTTTATTTCGCAGAAGCGGCAAAAGGGATCTGGTAGGATACCCATTACGTAGGTGTCTTCTCAGTGGGCAGTGGCCCGTCAGAATACCTATCAGCCTCCTAATTCCCTTCCTTGAGATAGAAACTAGCCATTTCGATTTTCTGCTGGTTTGATCTTAAAACTCTTTCCATTGCGTGTGTCCGGGGGATAAATTCCACTCCGTAGGGAACTGTTTCATACC